ATTTCTATATCTACACATACACACATATGTGTTTGTATCTCTATAGATATATCTATATATATATATATATATATAGCATATATATATATGCGTGTGTATCTTCTTCTCTATATATATGCATTTATATATATATACATTTATATATATATATATATATATATATATATATTATATATATACGTACACACACATGTATGTGTGTAAATATACATATTTATATACATGTGTACATATATGTATATAAAGGCATGTATATATGTATAAGTATATATATGTATATGTGTGACAGAATGAGTATGTGAGTGAGCGAGTGAGTGTCTGCACACAAACACACGCACAAAAAACACTCATTTATACACGTACACATACACACAACACAACAAAACACAAAACACACATATATATAGGTATATGCATATACACATACGTACATACATATATGGTTACATCTTATGTCATTATTTATGATTCAGTAAAGCCCTTTATACAATATTCATTTCTTTCTTATAGTTGGAAGTTGGGAAGTTTCTTAGGAAATGGTCGGATTGCTACAGCGCGACTGCTACCAGATACTGAATTTGCGCTGATATTTAAAAGAAAACAATTTAACAGTGGTTTTCACATACAAATGCAGCTCTAACAAAACATTTTATTTGGATCTATATTTTGTAAGTTATTCATCAAATGGATAAGTACATAACGAATGACAAAGTAAAATATAAATTTCTAAATGGAATCTCTGACGCGCATGCGCAGGAGAAACGTCCATGAGTTTCGTGCATATAAAAGGCGTGGTTTCGTCGACGAGTTTCACATCAAGTATTTTCAGTTGGTGTTCATATTTGCCACAGGTAAGTGAACAAGTGGAAAACATTTAAGTCGTAAATGTTTATAAACATTTCCATTTCTCCTGCAAAGGAATGCACTTCGAAAACGAATTACAATCAGCATTGTGTTAGCAATCAAAATACCAAGCTTTATGCTTTGTATATCATTGTATCACTTCCCGTTATGTCGCGAACAAGGTGTGAATACATATGAAAAAATTCAGGGAATAACTCTAATGCCAATTATGGTAGGACGAGCGAAAGGACCGTGGATCACTCAAGGAATTTGGATATGGTGAGAATCAGTTGCGACCGTGATCAAGTAGATAAAACTACGAATCAATATCTCTCCATTTATCAATATGGGCATTTGAATATCATTTTGATGTTGAATTAGATTAAATGACCGTTTATGCCTCTGCATTAAACACAAGCAGTGAAGACAGTATTCTTCCCACGATAATTGTTCTGCATTTCCCATACACCCTTTCCTTGTTCACTTCAAGTCCATAGAACATTCAAATGCATCGATGTTGTCATTGCACATCAGCGCTCCCACTTTTTGGATTTTTTCCCCAATTTGCGGAGGACAAATGTATACATCGTTCTGACGACTTCGCTTAAAGATGTATATAAAATTTCATCAACATGTATTCTTATGAGTTGTGGGATACTCAAACTGCAGTTATAACAACAGTGAAAAGAAACCCGAAAAAAAATCCCACAGAGAATTCCAGAATTTCCAGATACAGAAAGGTAATATATCCACGTTAGAAAAAACACTCCCAACTCATGGAATATATCAATAGACTAAAAGAGAAAGCATTTAATAGCATCACGACTACTTTTCAAATTCAAAGAACAAACTTTGTTAATCTTTATATTACAATGACTTTAAAACCGCGTGGAAATTTGTTATCATATTCCTCGAGAGCAACATCCTGAAAAAACTACCCACCTCTTTGGTTTGACACCTTTAGTTCAGTTGCTATAAAATCCGAAGGGTATTTGAAGTTACTTTTATATATTTTATTTGTAGTGGCACAAATACATATCAAATGCTGCTTGTAGCCATTACGCCAGTATCCACTTTCCTATATAAAAAAGCAGATTGGCTTACAGCCGTTCAATTACTGTGAAATTACATTAAACTTTAATCGGGATTTAACTTTTATGACGCGTACAGAAGATGCCTTGTCATGCAATTTTGAAAATTTAGGGACATTCTGTCCAATGTAGGGATATTTCAGCCTATTTCAAGGAAATGATCTACATTTGGGAGAGCCCTGATGCATATGTATGAGCATGTACGTGAGAAAAAAAAAGTGGGAGGGGGATAGGGAAGTTTAAAAGTACATTTTCATGTTCTTTTCATGTGACAAGCAGTGATGAAATGCCTATCCCACACATAGAGACTAAAACTGTTCTTTCATTACAGCCATGAAGTTCTTGCTGATTGCTTGTTTGGGAAGCCTCTTCGCACAACAGGGACCGGCTGGCCTGCAGGGCCAGGGCCCTTCGTCAGGACCTGCAAGCTGACGTGCTGAGAGGTATGCCAATGTATGATATAAATGCATATAAATAGAAGGATATAATATATAGAAATAATATATATATATATATATATATATATAGCGTATATACATACATACACGCACATATACATAGATGAATCTTATACACACACACACACATATATGTATACATACATAAATGCACACACACACACACACACATATACATATATATATAGTATATAGTTATACTAATATTACATATAGTATATGTGATATTATATATTATTGAATATCATATACATATATTGAATATATATGCATGCATGCATACAAACAAACACCATAATATATTACATATATATGAATGTATATATT